CACAGCTAAGTCACATCACGTGATGTTTGCAGAAACTGCTTGAGGCCTATCTTACATATAGCAAAGCTTCACGTAATCCTTTCAAGCAAAGCCACTTAATATTCCATCCTGCAGGCCGTATTCTTCCCCCAAGATATATTGTTTGTCTATCTTGCACCATGATTCTGGGAGACTTCTCTGCTTGTATATTCATGGATGGCCAGGAGCTTCCAGAGTATGATATCGTCGTTTCCAGTACGCCAACAGAGAACAGAATAACGTGTTGGATCGCGTCAACTGCAGGCAAGGTACGTTGTCCATAAAATGCATAGCGAAAGACCCTTAGTATCTCCATAAGAAATTTCAAGTCAGCGCGAAATTTTTAGCCCGGCAGACCTCGGGAGCCTTATTAACCGTCTTCGTTGACGGTATTACCTGTCGTCCATACGTCATGCCTCCGGGCTGGACTGGTACACAGAACATAACGCATCTGAGCAATAGTTATGTTAAAAGAGATTTCATGTTCTCCCAACTTGAGCTTACTGGTTAGTATGCGAAAGTTCCCGAAGCCTTCTTCCAAGTTCTAATGCTAAACATCAGATGACGACTCAATGCTCGATGATCGAAGCGCAAATGATATAGGTCAAATTATGATGGAGGTAGTGCAGGGGAAGTACACCATGAAAGAACAAGTAATGGGTTCCCATAACGTGAACGACCGTACCCTTCGTGTGCGGGAAGGCAAGGTGCATGAACGCGCCAAGAAGGCATGCCCTCATCGTGTTGTGTGCGTAAAATTTCATCGCAAACCTCACTGTTTTATGATTGTCATTTTGTTAAGCTTCGGAGAAGAAGTACCCGATCAAAGCCCAGTATCAGCCTTCAAGATTATACCAGACAATAGTCCAAAGACTGTCTTCGTATTCAAGTACACGCGCTTGGGTGGGCCATGATGTTTTCTACGCGCATTCGCCACTCACACATGGTCCCGATCCCAGACATCCTGCAAGCAATGGGAGTAGCACCACGTACATCAATCATGGCAGACACAGAGGCAGAGATGGAGGATCATGACGATGACAATGAAGTCATGGATGGGTCTGATGAGTCCTTGCCCTCAGATGATGTCAAACCACTGGCAAGGATTCGAGAGCTAGAGGTAATTTTTTGTTTTGGTGATATCTTTTCCTCCAGCTCATTCTCGTCTTGCAGATGGAGCTTCAGCGCTTGCGTGCACAAGTAGAAGATCGGAAGCCCTCGCTTGTCAAGTTGGAACACGGGGGATCGCGACGGAAACCCGCTGCTATGGAGGTTATTGATCTCACTGAGGATTAGCTTCTCTTTTCTTGGGTTCAGGTCCTCCGTTCTGAGGTAAGCAATCAAATTCCCAGTGTGATGGACACCACCATGCATTTTCTAGGAACTCGATTATCTGCAAGATGAAACACGCTACATCAATAGTTTCTGTGTGGTTCGAAATCATCATCACTATGATGTATGTATGTACATTGTATAGGTGCAGAACTTTGAAAGTCTGTCGCCACGAGTCCTGACGTTACGCTTACGACTCGAATAATACTTTCTTGTACCGTTAGTACTACGCCTTGTTCTATAACCACTGTATAATGACATTCCAAGTCGTATATAGACTTCATATAATAACAGCTCGCACTCCGAGGTTTCAGAAGTTCAAACGTTCAAGATTAATACAAACAAACTTTTATCACTTTCTTTCTCCCGTGGCAGGGTCGAATATCCACACTCATGCTCCTCGGAGACTTCTGTGCCTGGCCTGCGCTGCAGTTGATGGAAATGAGCTCAGCGCTCACGATCGTGGCACCGCCGTCTCCTCTTGAAGATAGGAGGCTAGTACTAGGTACATGCTGGATTGTATCTGAGGAAGGAAATCGGATATCCTCTCAACTCGCGTTCCGAATGTCGCGGCATAAGTACGGAGCTCAATGTCGTTTCGCTCAAGTGTTTCCGGTTGGTACCAGGACATTCCGAAACGCACACAACGTTTACAATGACTTATCAATGATGCGGTACTGCGCACTATGTATTAGCTCTCGTGACCAACTCGCGACTTTCATATCTCCTCGACCGCCGGTACTTGCCGGCAATCCAATGGCGACTTGATATTGTTCCACTGTTGACCGGTATCTAGACCTTCATGATCATGCTGAGCGGTATTCAGATGATGACGGCTACCTACTGCCCTTGGATGATCATGGGGGACAATTGTATATTTTACGAACACACAGCTATTGGGACATTCAAGAAGTATATCGTGTGAGTGGCAGTCATATTTTGGGACTTGACTCGTTCCATAACTGCAGCCTCGAAAACGAAGCTAAGAGAACCTCCGGTACAGACGAACCTCCTATTTGATTGATCTTATGCTCCGTCGGTAAGCTTGTCTCCGATTTCTGTACCGAACACAATAAATGTCGTCGCTCTCTGCGATTATTAGCCGGAAGCCTATGGGTGGACCGGAAGCCGATCAACTCGCATGGTCCTAATGAGTGTAGAATGAGCTGAAACGCTCGCGGCAAAAGGAGGGACTCGGGATTCCGAATCAAGTTAGGAGGACCGTCATCCTCGTGAGCGGGGATTTTTCTGCCACTGAGACTACCGGCCTGACGTCAGTACAGCCTTGAGTAGATCCTGCCGGCGGCAGGTGCTCATTCTCAAATACTACCCTTCCGGTGTAATCGGTACCCCACAGAAGTCGGTACTTTCACAAAACTCGTGTTTATAAACACGGATATCATTCTCTCTGTTATGACTCATTATGATGTTGAACGACCACGTGAACTGGAGTAGAATGGAGCGAGATAGTTGAAAGTGCCGAAGCCACGTAAAGATATCGACACCTGTCGATATGTGCCGTGGCATTTGCGTGACTGCCAGCGCCTGTGGCGTACCGATTGCACCGGAAGGGATAGTATACAAACATGGCGTCCTCGGTGTGATGTCCTGTACCGGCCCGAATCCTTCTTTCGATTCCTCAAAATCTATGCCGTGTTTCGTCCATGGTGCCTGTCTGTACTGCCTGGTCAGTATCACGTCGCATGACACCACTCGTGGTTGAAATTGAAACATCACATGAAGACGGTGACTCGTAAATCGATTCTATTCTCCTGATAACTTTCTGATGTTCTCCGAAGTGGTAAAGTGGCGCAGAACTCTTGAAAGGGGGGCTGAGAGGAGTAGCGGAAACAGTATTTTTGTGCGTATCTGTCACAAAGCTGAAAACGAAGAAATGTGAATGTCACATATTGTCCAGAAATTTAGAGTTTAACCAACGCGTTGTTTGGAGTATAATGGCGCCTTATCAAAATAGTAACGGCATTGAGTGATAGACTGGATTGCGTTGAGTTTCGGCCGCCTTTCCGGATCTACATCAACTCCTCGGACTTTATTGACACGAAGGAGTACTAGTCCATATGTGATAGTGATTCCACGTAGAGACACCTCATGTTTTTGGTCCATGATCCGTTGCCAACCTGTTGAAGAAGGAACCAGAGCGCTGGACATTTGCGGTCCGTTACATCGGCCGATGTGAACCCAGCGTTGACAACTCCTATGTGCCGTTCCTCACGTGTCATCAATCTTTACGGGTCAGGCGTGCATCGCGACTTGTCTGAAATGACCGCAAGTCAGCACATTATGACGTGCTTTGTGAATGGCCCAGAGCTCAAATGAAAAGCCGTTTTGTAAAGCCTGACCTCATTTCCACTGTTCCGGAAGTATCACAAAGCTGCTAGACCAGCAGATAATGAGTTCATTAAAATCGAAGATTAAGCTTGCAAGAAACATTTACCATCTCCAAGATGTGAATCGCGAGTAGGTATGGTCCGGGCTAAAATCACAGCGAGAAGTACGCATTTCCAAGTGGTCTAGAGGTGCCTAGCACCAGGCCATAGCCACCGAGGAGGTACCAGTAACGTCATTCAGTTGCTGTGAAGAACGTTCATCAACGTACCAACAAGTTTGGTTTGAAAGGAAGAGTTTTGGGATATGTCACATGACGTGAACGCGTTCCTTGGTGTCGCTGAGTTTCAAATTTAATTAGTGGATAAAAGCACGCGTAATTCCATGCACGCCTTTCTGTACCTGGTTAAGCGCGTGTACATCGATTGAAAGCTATCCACGTCATCATTCTCCTTTCCTTCAATGCTATCCTATGGGACGCTACGAGCGTGCATCAGGGTCGATGGACAAGCTTTGGAGAGCTATGGAATTGAGACGTTTCCAGAAGAAAATAAGGTGACCTGTTGGATTGCTTCGGAAGCAGGAAAGGTGTGTACTTCGTGAATTTGTACATGAGGCGACCCCCAACGCCGCCTCCTGTCACTCCTGCAGACGTTCTCTGTAGTATGGCAAGATATCAACTATGCACGCCAGTATCACCAAACAGGAGATGTGACACTCGATGGCATACATGGAGGGGGTCAATTAATGCATGCTTTAGGTTTCAATGAGCCACCCACGTATCAGAGATGTACGGCAGAATTCAAATACGTCAACACATCAATGAATTCCATCCGTCCGCTTACCTTCTCGAGGCTTCAGCTGACGGGTCAGTTTTATCTGGTGCAGACCATCAGACTCCAGAAGGATGCTCATATACTTATAGATGAAGATCAACACCTGAATTCTGCACACGCAGATCTCGGAGAAATTTCCTTGGCCATCTGGCCTGTGAGTGTGATTGGCATGGGCCACCGAAAAAATACAATCTCTGCTAAGGGAACGATAGTTCACGAGCGCTCAAAGAAGGCATCAAGTCACTGTGTGGGGTGCGTAGTTTTGCTCCATCTCGTCACCCAAGTCACATACGATCTTAGGTTTGGAGAGGAGATCCGTGTGCCACCGCAACAGGTAATTAACGTGGCGCGCGTTGGAATAACCCCCACGGCTACATTTGTTTTCAGGTACAGACCATTTGGTTCGTGTGCAAAACATAGTCGGTAATTATATTCTGATACTCATATATCCTTACTAGATCGACTCGTGGCAGATGGTATTGCCCCGCCACCTATGCAACCTTCATGGGGAACCAAGCGTGAAGCTCCTGTAGACGTACCAGAATCTGAAGATTACAACGATGGGACAGGCTCAGATATAGATGATGAAGCCTTGCGTGAGCTTAATGCGCTGAAAGTCAGATCTTTTCTTGCGATATGCTTATAGAAGCGCTGACACACAATTTACGAAGGCACAAGTGAAAAGGCTCGAGGAAAGAATAACCACTACCCGCAGTGCCAAGAGGGTAAAGTTGGAGTCCAGTGACAGCATGCGGAGTCAGTGAGACGTTGAGAGGTATCACTACCTTATAGGTAAGTTTCTAATCTCTCCCCAATAGCTTGATCACTGAAAGCACAAGCGCACATAACGTAATTCCGACCCACGTCTTTCTTTTGAACTCTCACTCTGTCACATTCACATGCATGAGAAAACGCGCATCGAGGTTTGACTGTTTTCCGCTCCAATAATGTCCCCGTCCCGCACACCGTAACGAAGGAAATGCTTTAGAGCATTCAACAGCATTGCATCTTCGCCTATTCCCGTATCCATCTACCATTAATTGACGTCAAATCTGCATCGGCGTTGACCATCCCCTCGTCATGCTCCAATTATATTTCAATCTTGTACAATCGGCCGTGGTTCGTTTTCTTGATAGGTACGTTCTTGCGGGATACTTGAACTCTCGCTGACCAAACCCTGACGAGCAGATTAATCGTATACATAGTTCATTCTCACCCGTTAATCCTCGATCGATTTTAATAGCCTGCGATCACGGTCCGTCTTGTGCAATCACCGCCTCCACTTCTCAGATCAGCTGAATTGACTCTACGTACCATCACTTAATCAAGGTGTCTTCTTGACGAACCACTCCTCTTACTTTCTTACGCATAGATATCCATGCTGGACGTGGATCTAGTTAGCTCGAAATGATAACGGCTTTTGCGCTATTTGATTTTTGCCTGATCACAGCCCTGCTCAGCATCCCTCGGAAATGAGGCAAACGTTATTTCTTAAGGAAATGGGCTTCCATGTGCAAGGGGAAGGTGGGCTAGGCTGTGCACCTTGTGTTTTTCACTAATCTGGTCTAGTCTGGTCTGGTCTCCAGGCGCATCCAGGGACCGCTCGCTGGACTATACGTGAAACGTCCGGCGTCCAACTTGCCAGCCTCGAGGTTGGCGTTAATTTTATACGTACCTTTGGTTGCTTCTATAACGAAGCTCCACATAGGATAAACTTGTGGAGCGCACGAGGGATTCCTGTGCAGGGAATTTCCATCAATTGCACTCTGTGCGGCCCTAAAATGTCGCGAAATAGCGTAACTGCCTCGTGGGTTGTGGCACCAATGACTATAAAGCCCACACAATTCCTTCCTGTATAACGAAATATCCTCTGTACCTCATCGGAGTTCACGTCATAAGCACAATGACTGTAAGCGTAACGCTCCATTATTATGTGCCTCGTGTTCATCGTTTGCTCACCAACCCCATGCAGCAGTGCACCAGCAACAAGCCCTCCGGACCTATCCGTCGAAGATTAAGGCTTCTTGATAAAGCTGTGCAATTTTTATCGCGCCTAGATGGTCGAGGGCCTCACACAATACACGAGGTGTCCCTAAACACTTCATTCCATTCGCTTCCGTTGAGTCAGGTAAATAATAGCAATGAGTATAAAGACCCATGTCCGATACTTAATTTTCGCACAGGAACAAAGCCCTTCCATCCATTCAACATTTGACTTCCACTCAATCTCTGACATGCCTGACCAACAACTCGCACTCATCATCCCATCCAAGCAAGCGACTTTTACCGTCGCTAGCCGAAAAATACCCAAGCCAGGCCCTGGCGAGGTTCTCGTCAAACTCCAGGCCACTGCGCTCAACCCTTTCGATGCTAAGATCCATAGAGATGGCACTTTCGTCGACAGCTATCCTGCAGTTCTGGGCACCGACGGTGCTGGCATCGTCGAAGAAATCGGTGAAGGCGTTACGAAATTCAATCCAGGGGAAAGAATGTATGCCATCTCATTTCTATAATGGCCACGTTTGTTGTGAGATTGATCGTTACTTCGGCTAGATTCTTCCATGGTGCCTTTGACGATAACGATCTGGCAACCTTTCAGCAGTATTGCGTAGTCACAACTGACTTCGCAGCTAAGGCAAGTTAATCCCCGCGATCGGTAGTCGAGACTCGTGTTGATCGATATTACTCAGGTCCCGAGAAGCTTATCGCTCGACCAGGCAAGTACTATCGCATGCGGAATTGGCACAGCCGCGATCGGGATGTACGGTACCATGAATGGTATCGGTCTCATTCCACCTTGGGAGCGCGGCGGATGGTCCAAGTACAAAGGTTGGCCCATCTTGATCCTCGGTGGTGCCGGCTCTGTGGGCAACTACGGTAAGCTTAGCGGCTCATTTCCACAGCCAAGACATCTTACTAATACATCACTGCTACTAGTTATCCAACTAGCGAAACTATCGGGCTTCTCACCTATCATTACCACTTCCTCGCTGAAGCACACGGAACGTCTGAAGAGTCTCGGAGCAAACCACGTCATAGACAGATATCTTCCACTATCAGCACTCAAACAGGCCGTGATGAAAATTACGGGCTCTCGCATACATATGATGTACGACTGCATATCCACAGCAGAGACGCAGGAGGCTGCTTGGTCATTGCTTGCGCCAGGAGGGAAGCTTGTTGTCACACAGCCATCCTTGATTAGCAAGGACAGCTATGACAGTAGGCAGGTGGTTCCTGTAGACGGAAGCCCGCAATCAGACGAGAACTGGGAAACGGGGAAGAGGCTGTGGGCTCATCTTGAGAGATGGGTCGAAGAGGGTCACATACGGGTATGTATCAATCAAACCTTACCTCTAGGTATTCTCTAACATTTTTTCAGCCAAACAATGTCGAACTAGTATCTGGCGGGCTGCGTGCAATACCAGATGCGCTCGAGAGATTCAACGCTGGGAAGGTAGACGGAGTGAAACTGGTAGTTCGACCACAAGAAACTTAACAATTTTGCACGGGCGATCTGGGACATATATGATCATTATTTTATCTAGATACCCCCTGCATTACCTTCATTTCTTTGTCAATATGAATTGCTTCTTGCATGTGTCATCATTTCAAAAATGGTCGCGACTCGGAGTCGTATATAAAAATGGGACCCCTATGTAGAGTCGCTTTCAATCGTGCTCTCATCTTCCTAACCATGTCTGATACAAAGCAACAAAAAGCACTCTTACTGAAGTCCAAGCACGGCCAATTCGCTGTTGGTTTGAACAGCATCCCGAAGCCCGGGAAGGATGAGGTCTTGATCAAGGTTTACTCTGTAGCCCTTAATCCTATCGACTACAAAGTTCAGGAAACCGGGATGTTTGTCGACCACTACCCAGTAGTACTCGGTGAGGATATTGCTGGTACCGTCGACGAAGTGGGAGAAGGCGTTCTCAACTTCGCGAAGGGAGACAGAGTGTGAGCACTATTAGCCCCTGAGTTGTGCCTGGGTCGCTTCCTTACCTTATTCGCTGTAGATTCACGCATGGCCAGTTTTCAAATGATAAAGCTGGTTTCCAACAGTTCGCACTTGGAGTTACGGATTTCACTGCGAAGGTATGTTCTTATTGAAGGATTTGCATTGGTACTGACAGCATATAGATTCCGGATAATTTGGGATATGATGACGCAGCCACTATTCCATTGGCCCTCGACACTGCTTCGACTGGCCTGTATAATAAAACCACGTACGGGTTTGGCCTCACGCCGCCTTGGGTAAAGGGCGGTATCGGCATGTACTCCGGGACTCCGATCGTCATTCTTGGTGGAGCGTCAGCTGTTGGGTCTTATGGTAAGTTGCTGTCAAGAGAAGTATCATTCTAACCTTCCCCTTTCAGTCATTCAGCTGGCTCACCTCTCTGGGTTCTCTCCTATCATTACGACTGCGTCGCCTGCCCATGAAGTGTACCTGAAGTCGCTTGGGGCTACCCATGTATTGAACAGGCACCTTTCTGCCGACGTTGTCAAGGCTGCTATCAACGGATTTACAAAGAACCCGATCAAGTACGTGTATGATGCTATTGCTCTCTCTGAGACACAGCAGGTTGGATGGTCGATCCTCGATGCGAAAGGATGCCTGGTTTTGACGCTTCCGGCATCAGTCCAAGAAGACGAAGGAAAGGAACGCAAAGCTATTATGACATTCGGAAGTCCACATACGAAAGAAAACAAGGAGCTTTGCAAGGGGTTGTGGGCCATTCTTTCGCAGTGGCTTGAAGCAGGGACCATTAAGGTGAGGTATCAAGCATATCCCAGTCTCACTGCCGCTGACCTACCTCATATAGCCTCTTAGGTACGAAGTTCTTCCTGATGGTCTTGAAGGAATCATCGGGGGGTTGGAACAAATGAAGGCGGCGAAAGTAAGTGGGAAAAAGTTGGTTGCTCACCCGCAAGACACCAAGTGAGGCCATACTATGTGGTCGACGAGGAAGTCAATGTGATTTTCGTCTGGTTTGTCACTGTATTTTTATTCAAGTGCCGGCATCGCATCACTATGTATTAGTAAATTATTTCAAGAACAAACCTGTAATTCAGATTTCATTCGAGTTGCAATTGGTGCGCAAGGTAATGATTGGCGTCTCTGCAAAACTTATTTGAAATTTTGAACACAAATAATTTCTCAAGTTAAACAAACACAATAATTAATGATAATTTTTTTTACCTCACGTTGAATCAAGCCAGGTCGTAATAGTCTGAACTCTAGACGTAATGCCTGGTCGGGGCCTCGTGTCAGTTGCTTCCATCAGCCAGTTTGTGGTTTTTAGCTTTGTCTTGCATGTGCTGTGACTTACGAACAAATTCCTCGACTGATCATGCGAGGACCTTTTGAGACTCTCTGCATCTCGGAAATTCTCGCAGTTATCCTTGATGGTTTGCAAGGCGACAAGAAGTCGTTATACTACATGTCTTGCTGTTGTCGTGCATTTACAGATCCTGCCCTCGATGTCCTCTGGAGATCCATGCACTCATTTGCGCCATTCACTTCGTTGATTCCACAAAGCGCGTCATTTGCGAATGTAAGTGACTCATCTCACGTCTGTCGCTGATGCCAATCCTCATTATACCTGCAGGACTCCTGGACGACAGACCACGATCTCCTAAAGTATCGCCCATCGAACGACTGGAAAACATTCGACAAATACGCTGCACGAGTACGGAGTTTGTGCATAGGAGACTACATCAATAACATCGCAGACCTCGTAAAAACCCAGGATTGTTATACATGTCTCACAGTCATTCGAGGACAGGATGGATGTCATCCTTTCCCAAAATTACGAAGTCTGATCTATATCCTCTACGGGCCAATTTCCCCGCAAGCGAAGCCATTTCCCCCCTCCCTGCGATCTCTCACTCTCGTGTGTCGCGACGCGATCGATTGTGACCCTATTGAATTGGTACTTGACCGCGCCGTCGCTGAAGCACCGCGTCTAAAGGAACTGCGCATTATTGGTCTCATGCGGACAATGAGAACGTTGCACCCAACACCCCAACCTCATTTCGGGCAGATCGAGAGCCTCGATCTAAGCAAAGCTTATATTCGTGCCCCCGAGCTTGCAACTCTTTGCACGCTATTGTCCCAG